AAATTCATGGAGGAGAGGTCCACCAATGGCTATTAGCCAGGATGGACAGGGATGGTGACCCTAGCCTCTGTTTGCCAGAAGCTGGGAATGGACCACAGGGGATGGATCACTTGATGATGACCTGTTCTGTTCATTCCCTCTGGGGCACCTGGCACTGGCCACTGTTAGAAGACGGGATACTGGGCTAGATGGACCTTTGGTCTGACCCAGTGTGGCCGTTCTTATGAAGGGATGGCTGGAGGAATGACTGGTTTTTAAATTAGTGAGAAAAAGTGTCATGGTTTAGATGGAGAGAGCTTGTTTTTAAAGGCTTTCCCTGCCGCCTCCTGTCTGCGGGCTAATATTTCATGGCAAGCACATTGTAGCACGTGCTGTGACCATATCTTTCTGCTGCCCTTTAATTCAGGCTGAAGATAATCCGAGAGAAAGCCCTACCAGACATCGAGAACTACATGTTTGAGAACCACGACCAGCTCCGACAGGCAGCCACAGAGTGCATGTGCAACCTGGTTGTCAACAAAGAGGTAGCCGTTTTCGCTCTGCATGTAATTAGACGGTGGAACTCATTGCCACAGAATGGGGGAGGCCAGGAACTTGGAAAGATTCAAAGAAGGATTGGATCTTTGGATGGGTAACAAGAATATCTAGAGCTATAATAGTTAATGCCAAACAATGTTTTGGAAAGGATAATAAACCGTCCTGCGTCAGGGCTTAAGCCAGCCTCTATTAGGGATTAAGCTGACACTCACTGGGGAACAGATTATCCCACATTTCCCCACTGTGGGGCTCCTTCCACTTTCCTCTAAAACATCTGGAGCTGGCCACTGTTTGAGACAGGATACTGGACTTCAATGGACCACCGGTCTGATGTAATTCCTTGATCAGCGGTGGCCAACTTGAGCCTGAGGAGGAGCCAGAATTTACCAACGTACGTTGCCAAAGAGCCACAGTAACACGTCAGCAGCTCCCCATCAGCTCCCGCCCTGCTCCCAGCGCCTCTCACCCACTGGCAGCCCCGCCAATCAGTGCCTCCCCCTTCCTCCCCCACCTCCCGATCAGCTGTTTCGTGGCATGCAGGAGGCTCTGGGGTGGGGAGAGGGAGGAGCGAGGGCATGGCAGGCTCAGGGGAGGGGGCGGGAAGGGGTGGAGTGGGGGCAGGGCCTGTGGCAGAGCAGGGGGGGCCAGGGGCAGAGCCGTGAGCCCCCCCCGGCCCGTTGGAAAGTCGGCGCCTGTCGCTCCAGCCCCGGAGACGGTGCCTGTACAGGGAGCCACATGTTAACGTCTGAAGGGCCGCATGGGGCTCCGGAGCCCCAGGTTGGCCGCCCCTGGCCTAGATGCTTTAATACGCGTTTTCTATTATGTATTTATATCCGACGGTTTGTGAAACTGCTGCTCCAGTATGAATCCCATAAGCCTGGCAACTCGCTCCCCATTTTTGCCTTTCATTCTGTTGAGGTTCAAGAGCGCTTTGTGGCCGATGGAAATGACCGTCTCAAGCTGGTCATGTTACTGTGTGGTGAGGACGACGTGAAGGTCCAGAATGCAGCGGCAGGAGCCCTGGCCATGCTGACAGCAGCACACAAGAAGCTCTGCCATAAAATGACCCAAGTGGTAAGAGGAAAAATCTGATGCCCAAAACACTAAACAGTCTCAACAAACGCTCAAAGGCAGCCTGGGAATGTTGTAAAATTCTGATCAAAGGATTTTAAAGAACTTCTACAGCGACAAATTTAAGTATTTATGTGAGATCCTAGGGAAAGCAAATATTTTGGCGTATAAAACCTTGCATGTTTAAGCTAACTGTCTAATTTAGTGACTTCCAACAGGGAGTGACCTACTACAGCTGATTTGAAACTCCCTGCCCCAGGTTCATCTCCTGTTATTTTTTCCAAGGACTAAAACAGCCTTTTTCACCTCTCTGGTTGGGGACTTGTGGTAGCAGGGTCTGTCCCTGTGCGCTCTCATGTCCAAAATCTATGGTTGGTGTAACCCCCAAGATCATTACAGTCCAGCGTGGCAAGGTTCTGGGTTTATTTATCATGTCAGTGGCTAATTTTGATGTATGTTCATTTTTTCCCCATTTTTATTGTTTTCAATGTTCGCTGCTGTAGGAAACTGTTGGGAGGTCAGACAATTAATACCAGTAGATGTTGAGATTCAAAAAGTTAAAGCTCTAATGCAGTGAAAACACAAATTGATGTAAGGCACTTTGATTTGTGTATTTTGACCTGTGATGTTGGCAAATCCTTAAGTTCTCAAGCAACGTTTCTCTTTGCCTAGCTGTATAGTTTGATTGCTAGCGATGGGAATATTTTTTCCATCTGTGTGTGTGCGGTGAAATCAATGTCTACCAGTGCTTACTGATGATCAAATTCTTCCAAGCCGACCTATAATGTATATAAGACAGGGTGGACCCACTGTACCTACAGTTCCTCCTCAACCAAGTTGTTGGTTTTGTAGTTAGCTTATTTTATTTTTATTTGTACTTGCTTCGCTGCACACAATTTGTATGTATTCTGGGGCTGCCCCTCCTCCTTTCGTGGCTGGCGCCTCCTTGATGCGCGCACACACACCTGTCAAGGGCGTCTTCGTTTCCCGGAGGCTTTTTTCTCTTTTTCAAGGCTATGCCCCAAACCCTGGGTTTTAAACCCTGTCTGACTTTTGTAAAACTGGGATAACTCAACCCCTCTGAAGTATGGAAGTGAGACTAAATTCATTGGTATAGATGACGTGCTCAGCTGCAACAGTAACGAATACCACAGTAAAGTCTATTTAAAAAAAAAAAATCACCCCCCCAACCCACCATTTCAGCTAGCTTTACATTGTGATGGAACCATGCAAAACTCTGACCTCTGTCTGTATGGTGTCCACACAATAAAAACCAGGGTCCAAACCTTGGATTCAGGTTCCGTTACAAAGGTGGATACAGCCCGGCCAAAGACTGGGAGGGCAGGTGCTGCTGCAGATCTGGATGCAGGTAGCCCCAGAGCAGTTTGTGGAAGCCCTTCACTCAGCCAGCACAGCACCTGCCCTTACCATGCAAGGGCTAAGTATTCAGAAATTAACTGTGGAAAGGAACGTAGTGCTTGTTATGCGAACTGGTGGCAGTTCTCACTCCCAGACGACAACTTGTCTAGGAATTGAGGCCAGTTTTCATGCACTGGAATCAACCTGTTTGCAGACTCTCCTTTTCCTAAATTGCTACTTTCACCCCCTTGAAAAGTGCCTTACCTAGAGGCAAACTACCTTGCACTTCAATGATTTCCTCTGCTGTAGAAAACCTTTTTTTAAATTCACAGCTTTTTCTTCCTTGCAGACAACCCAGTGGCTGGAAATCCTGCAGAGGCTCTGCTTGCATGAAAAGCTGGAGGTCCAGCACCGTGGGCTGGTGGTTGCTTACAACCTGATCAATGCAGACCAAGAGCTGGCCAAGAAACTGGTGGAGAGTGAGATGCTGGAGATCCTGACACTCGTTGGTAAACAGGCAGATGACTCCAAGAAACAGCATGTCATCAATGTGGCTCGTGAGTGTCTCGTGAAGTGCATGGACTATGGGCTGATCAAACCTTTCTCCCAAGCATGAGACCCCACGGCAATGGCAGCCTGTCGAGAGAAACCAAACAGAAGGGGAAGGCACATGGAAGGTCTACAAATCTACAGGATCCACAGAAGGAAATTCAGTTTAATTGCCAAGGCTTTGCTGAGCACAGGGTATACTCAAATTTATTTTTCCCCAGGCATAAAGATAAAGTCATTCCTAGACACTGCAACCTGTAGTGCCAGGATTCCATTGCTAGCCATGAACGCAAGTTCCACCATAAAAGAATCAATCCATGCAATGCAGCCAACTGCTGCTGGTTCAGGAAGTCTCAAAAGTTTTGGGCAAGATCGAGGTTCCAAGTAGCCTTTCTTGATGGAAAAAATCATGTTTTATATTTCAGCAGTTCCAACTGAGGTTAGAAGAACAGAGGTGAAAGGCTGAATTGTCTCACGTCACATTCATAAAGGAGTTTGGTTTTTTGAAAATATTTGATGTTTGTATTACTGGAATGCAAATGTTTAGTGTGAGAATATTGGGTGGATTCTCCGTTAATAAATTCTGTACTTTGTTCTGTGTGAGTTCCTTCAATGTTGCATGATCTCTGTTTGTTTGTGAGTAGTGAGTAATTCATGAGACCCTTTCTATGAAGTGCCTGTCAGCCGACCACTCTATCTACATAGCAGTGAATCTCAGAAATATGGCACAAAAACCAACTCTCACCTTGCAGAAAAACGTTTCAAAAATTGCCAGTTCTGTTCAGATGGATGTGCAGGGACATCACATAGCCCTGCAAAGGCAGTTAGGTTGCTCTGACATGACCATAACGTGCCTGTAGCACGAATACGACTGCGTGCAATTACGGTTTGCAGGAATATTCTCTCACTTTTCTCTATTGTGGCAAATTGCCGGCACTACTATGATGGGTCTCGCGCTTTCTGTTCTTGGGTGGGGGTTCAGGGCATCATTTCTCGCCCCTGAACTGGGGTATTAACTGCCCCACTAGTCTCCTAGAGGAGGGGAGTGGAGAGGGAGGGACACGGGCCCGCCCTCTACGCTGGGTCCCAGCCCAGGGGCCCTAGGGATAGCGGTAAACCACTAGATCTAGTGGTTCCTTCCCCTGGGCTACTTCCCTCTCCTGCCCTTCAGCTTGTGGGACTTCCTGCCCTCCCTCTGCACAAACCAGGTGTCCATTTACCTAAGCTCTTGGTCTTCCTAGCCCACTGCAGCACTTAAAATCAATCATAGAAGATCAGGGTTGGAAGGGACCTCAGGAGGTCATCTAGTCCAGCCCCCTGCTCAAAGCAAGACCAAGCCCCAATTTTTGCCCCAGATCCCTAAATGGCCCCCTCAAGGATTGAACTCACAACCCTAGGTTTAGCAGGCCAATGCTCCAACCACTGAGCTATCCCTCCCCCAACACACTTAAGGTAGTTTTATTTAATAAACAACTTTAAAGAGCCGGTTTTGTACATTTTTAATAGAATTCCAATCTCCATCCAAATGCAGATTGATACAAATCACAATAAAAAATTATCTCCATTCTCTAACATGCCATAAATGTATTCAGATTCTTAATTTTTACTCTTTGTAAAGATCTAGAATTGTTTAAATTAGCATTTAAAGCTACAGCATTAGCAAAAAAAGGATCAAAGAGTGAAGGCTATTTTTGGTCGCAAAGGAACATGGTTTAATGGTTATACCAACCAATAAGAAATAACCTTTCTCTAGGAAAAATTACTTAAATATAAACAAAAGAGAAGATTAAAATCAGTGATTTAAGTCAAGGGTTCCTAATTGCTGATTTAAGTAGTGATTAAAATTGGTGATTCCAATTATTTTGGTTTAGGCCCATCTACCCTGGTATCTAACTTCAGACATTCTGGGCCTGATTTCCAAAGTCGGTGAGAATGTAACGCCAATGATTTAGTCACTATAGCTGGATCTACACGGGGACTTAAGCACCATGACGCCCACCATGGCAACATCTAACTTAGGCACTAGAAAGTCGTAAGAACAACACTGCGATCCACAAAGATAAGCGCCTAGGCTCCCTGTACAATGAATGGGAAGAGACAGGCGCCTTCGACTGCGATCCACAAAAGGCAGCATGCTAGGTGGGCTAATGGGAGATGCCAACAAGACAGGTGTCTGCTAAGCCCGCCCTTTTCTCAGAGTGAGGCCCCGAAGTCCAGGCTGCAGGGAAACCCTCATCTCTGCTGGTGATTCACAAATGGCAACCGCTGTCCTGGAGACAAGCGGCTCAGACACATAAGGTGGCTCTCCGCAGGAACCGGTTTGGTGCTTGTCTCACACCACAAAAAAAGCCGCAGGAAGTGGTGTCCACTTTATAACTTCTGGCCCAGTGGTTAGAGCACTCACCTGAGGCATGGGAGACCCTGGGTCTAGCTGCCTGCTCTAATCACTATTATTTATCCACAGCTTCCTCAGGAGAGACTGAGGGAACCACACATCAGAATGTGCCCCCTAGCTCAGGGGTGACAGTGCCCTCCTCAGAGGTGTCAGACCCCTCTGGCAGAGAGGAGGGAACTGAACCTAGGCCTGCCACGCCCCAGGGGAGTGCTCGAACCCCTGGACTGAAAGTTCTGAGGTGGGCATCACCACCATCTCTTTCTCCGGCCAGTTTTGAATGGGACTCAATGCGGTAAGCAGCCTCTGAGTATACCTACCGAACCACCTCCGTAGAATTAATAAATGAAATTGTTTGTAATTGTTCACTTTATTAATATAACTTCATAAGTAAAGTTTTATGAATTAAACTTCATTCATTCATAAAACCGGGTACCCCAATAACTGACTAATTGACAATTAAGCTGCTTGTTAAGAGCCACAGCTGTACTTGTAAATTTCACTTTCAATCCAATTGCTGCTGAAATGCTGAAACTTACACTGCTTCAACATTGTAACTTCTGCTCAGTGTTTGTCATTCATTATACTTGTCTATACTGTAACTTCTGTTCACTGTTTGCCATTCCTTACACTTGTCCATATTGTAACTCAAAATCCATTTTAACTTGTCCCGAACTCCATTTTAAAATGCTCACTCCATTTTGTAAAAGCTTGCTGCAACCTTCATTTTTGCAAAACCCTGCTGTAATCTTGTTAGTTTAGTTTAGATGTGTGAATGAGGTATGTATGGATGATGGAATCAACCTCTAGCGCCAGCCTGTCCTGGTGAAATAAAGTTCAAATACCAACGGCTGAAGACGCAGACAACAGCCCTAACAAAGTAAGAAGAGTCCACCCTAAGAAGAAAAGAACAAAGGTACAATAGAAGGAAGATCAAAGCCGGACCGAGGCTGAAAGTCACATCTGCAATTGACGGGTGATCAATCACACCGAACGCAGGGCAGCCTGACACAGCAAGACCTATAGACTCTGGATTCAGACTAAAAACCTATAAAAAAGATGGGTGAGATGGAAGACTTTGGGTAACGTTCTGCTGCCAACCTTGAGGGGCATCAGTGCGCGCCTGACAGAGACCCGGCCCTTCCTCGTGTCCGGTTTTCCTGGCCAGTTAGCCGCCATGATCCCAAGCTGCGGAATCAAGCCATGAACTCAAGCTACGTTCAGGACTGGTAACTATCCAGCTGCTGCAGAACATCTGATGTGTGTGTATGTAAGTATTATGTATTAGCTAGTGGTTATAGATCAAATTGTTATCATAATAAACGTGGCATCTTTGCTTTGTCCCCTAAAACGATCTTGTGTAGTTTTGTCTGCATAACACCTCCTGCACAAAACTTAGTCTTCCCCTGGTTGGTGAATCGCTCTGGGCTTAGGTGAGACAAGTGCCTAGGCTCCTAGAGGGAGGGAGCAGTACACATGCCCCAGCATCTGAAATTTAAACAGCTAGGGAATTTGCACAGCGGAAAGTTAGGCCCCTAAAGTGAATTTAGGCCCCTACAGGTTTTAGCCAAGCCAGAGTTTTGTGGATCACAGTGGTGCATCTTGGAAACCTGAAGATCAGAGACCATTCTTGAAACGTTAGCAGGAAGGACTGATTAGCTTCAAGTGGACCATTCTCACTATATCCCATGTAGCTCCTTTGGTTTATTTTACGGACTGGCTTTTTAAGACCCCCAGGCCTCACCAGGTCTCATGTAGTTTATTAGCCTGGGAGATGGGAGCCCTCTAAGGTAAAATTTCACCCATGGTGAGATTTGTATTTAGGTCTGAATCGTGGGTGAAAAACCACAAAAGCGACATGACTATCACGGGTTATTAAACAGATCCCGAGGGAACCACCAGGACACTTTCAAGCATTACCTTTCATACAGCAAATGAAGTTGTAAATTAGCTCTGGATGCCACACAGAGTTTAAGATTTTCGGAAATCGCATTCTGTGTAGGGACAGGGACTGGGTTGATCCCAAATACGATGTTTCTCTCCAGGCCAGAAAAGCGGCGGATGCTGTCGAGAACAATGCCATGACCCAGCACATTGTCTGCCGTTGTGAAACATGCGTCCAGTTTGAAATTTCTCATCATCGCTCTCATTTTGGGTTGTAATATGCACTGATACCTATCCTTCTCTTTCATTGTGTTGCACAGGATAGCAATGTCTTTCCCGGAGTAACCACTTCGGAAATATTGGCGACAGGTATCAACCACATATGTCGCTATTTCCTCCTCCTCCAAGTTTTCTTCTACCCTACAAACACCTGGCAGGGGATGGCCACATACAGCTTCATTGAGCAGCATTCTTAACCGCTCAAAAGGAATATCAATTTGTGGATATTTTACAATATTTTGCATCTCTTGTTCCATGGTATTGTATATCTGGGTGGCATTCCGGACCCCTATAGTTAACCACTCCTGAGGATATTGTTCTGATGGATGTGGAAGACCGCATGGAAATGGGTGACTTGTTTGTAAATAGTCCAAGAAGATCCAGAGAACACCAGGTTCGCAATGACCATGTCCTTGGGTGATGCACTGAGCTTTGCTGTACCAATCGCCATCCTCTGACCGGAAATTCTGGGCCTCATCAATTACTATGTGCTTCACTGATTGATAATTCCCCTTTAAGAAGGCAACTCGGGTCACAGGCCGGCAAATGTTTCTCCTTCTACAAAATAAAAGAAGACATTTGGCATGATTAGTGTGAATTTTCTGTTGGTCTGTGCAGCTGATCCAATTTAGAGGAGTGACAAGTGTATCAAATCACCTCTTTCTGGCTATGAACACGCTTGCAAACTTTTTGCTTTTAAGATTTCACTTCTGATTATTTAAAAAAACCCACATTTACAAAGGGCAACACACATTCAACACCGAAAGCATGTAGGTAATTGATGAGTTACATCAGAAACAGCACACCTCCGATGTGTTACATAATGTGCACAAAAGCAGTAGAGGAAGCATTTCAGCGGTTTGAGCATTGGCCCTTTAAACCCAGGGTTGTGAGTTCAATCCTTGAGGGGGCCATTTAGGGACCTGGGGCAAAAATTGGGGATTGGTCCTGCTTTGAGCAGGGAGTTGGACTAGATGCCCTCCTGAGGTCCCTTCCAACCCTGATATTCTATGATTCTATGAGCTTTTACCCACCCAAAAAGTGCACGTATCTGACATAACAACAATAGAAGTATGTTAATGTACTTGTAAAATATTTTATAAAACACTTAGTAAAAGGGTACCCAAAAATGTATTATAATTATTGGGAAGCAGCTCATGCAGATTGTCTGAAGGATGTTATGTTGTGTAGTCCCCCACAATTTGTTAATTTATAGTTTGTTACTCCACTGCTTAAAATCATTATAGACCCTACACAAAAAGATATTACAGAAAACAAGCAAGCATTATAAGGGGCTGCAACAGCCAATTAAGGTGATTTGCATAATTGTTCTATTACCTTTACAGTTCATACACTCAGATAATGACTATATAGATATATATATAGATAGATCATATATAGATACATAAAAATTGCTTACATAGATTACAAACGTACTTCGGATCTCATTCAATATGAGCCTTATTCTCATTTACATTAAGGCCCCTTTACACAGTTCTAGCCTTAGCGTAAATGTGACTAGGGCCATTATAACGAGGGTCTCTTTCAGTGTATAAATGATTTCAGGATTTGACGTGGGTCACTGTGCACAGGTTGGCTGGGAAGCAGCTCAACTGGACCCCCCCCCCCCCGGGGTCTGAAGAGTGGAACGCCACCTGGCTGGCCACAGGAATCAATCTTGACTCCTGGGGTGAATGAGTCCACGTGAGCAAACTATGAAACAAACTGTCATGCCCAGTCCGGTGAAGGCAGCTCTGCCGCCTTCTCCATCAGTGGCACCCTTCCCCTCCTGGCCGACAGCGAGGAGCAGAAAGCAGTTCCCAGCTGATTCACCAGCCACCTCCTTACCCTGAGCAGCAGCAGGACATGGGTGTGTTTGGACAGCAGAGACAGGACTTGAAGGGAGGCTGGGGATGGAGGCAAAACAGTTTTGAGGGGTGGGACAAGACCTCAGTGCTGGGGAAGGGAGTAGGGAGCAGAGGCGACAGGAAGAATTGAGGAAGAGGGAGCTGCTGGTTGGGGCAGAGGGCTAGAAGCAATGGTAGCACGGGGGGAAGAATGGAATAGCTCCGGGTAAAGAGAGACTGGTAGAGAAAACAGAGATGGGACAGACATTAGGACCAAGGGAGGGATATGGTGGAGAGGTAGAATGTGAGGAAGGCAGGTAGAATGTAAAGAAGGCTCCATAGAGCATCTGGCAGAAACCAAAGCTGACCTTCCCCACATTCACCCTCAAGAGAGGAGAGGAACAGAAACCCTGCCCGATGTCCCCTAGAGGTGAATACCCTCTGGGTGCAGGGGGTTAGGTGGCTCACAGAAGTGCAATTTTCCCATCGAGGGGTGAATCTCACCCAAATTGTTTTAAGATGGTTTGTCAAAAAAGGCCTCCCAAATACCATTAATTCCTGCCCATTCTGTCCTATAACATGCAAACTACCCTCTTACTTATGGCATCATCTCAGCACTGGAAAACTTCCGATTGATAATACTCCACTTTACCACTGATTTGTTTAACCCTACTTAGTAGAGCCAGAAAATTATGAGTTGAGGGCTTGTTTGTAGACAAGGCCTTAGAGAACAGTGGTCCATTCCTTTATTGACTGGCAAAAAATGTTTCTCAGTCTTTAAAAAGACTTTTCTTCCTGCATTAAACATATTTCCCCATCGTCCCTCTGGCATTTGATATGATTTAACAGCACAGGGTTTTGAATTAGCTACACAATACTTACTTCACAATTGCTGTCAGAGGCTGGTACTCACAAATGTACAGAATCTCATCAGATTTGCAGTGGAACACGTTCTTTATCCTCTCTATGATATTCAGGGCCACAATTGTCTTCCCCGTTCCTGGCAGGCCATAGATAAACAGCTTCTTGAATTTGTGAAGATTCATTGTTAGTATCTCATACTGTTTAACGGTGAGAAGGTTGAAAAATTCACAGCCAAGCATGTCACTTAAGAAGGATCTAAAACTCAACAAGATTATCACAAGTGAGTGAAGTAAGTCTGGCATGTCATTGGGCAAGAGGACATAGGAAAGGGGATGCTTGACTTGTACATGTGAGTCATTATTTCGCTCTCTGTTGATTCCAAGGTGTAGGAGATGGGGAATCACACACACTTTCTGAGTGTATCCCCCATCATTTACCAGTTTCTTCTTTAACGTACAAGCAATATGTTTTGAATATTCAAACCCAACCATGGAATAATCCTCCGTGACGGTGTACAGCGTTGGGTATTTGTCTGTGGCTATTAAGAGAGCATCACAGACAACATGCTGATTCTCTGGCAATCCAACAGCAACAGCCCAGCTTCTTGCAAATATCAGTAGTCCCTGAGAATATTGCAGCTCTTCCATTTGCTCGTTCATTAAATCCTCCAGCCCCGGATACTCTGAGAACAGCTCTTTGCTGAGGTTGTCTGGTTTGTATGTTATCCCATTACCATTTACTAGAAATTGAGAGAATTAGAAAAAAATATATATTTGTATGATTATTCTCTTTTTTCAAAAGCTCTACAAGGCCATTTAAAAAGCTATTCCAACTGAATTTATGGTTGAAAATATATTGCAATTCATTAGTTAGCACAATTGAAAGGAGTATTATGAAAAGTAAAAGTGCTGGAAAATATTGAAATATTTCTGACATTGAAAGGAATTATTTCACCTTTCCTTAACTGTGTATTTCCCAGATTTGAGGGCACTAGGTTATTACTTTTTAATTAGATGAAATCAACCAGACCTGAATACAAAACCATTTTTTCCTTATTAATTTACTGTTGGAGACCTGTGTCTATATTGACTATGTTTCACTGTACGAAACAGTTTGCTATTCCACTTTAGAAAAAATGAAACCAGAAACTCATTCAAGAAAATTTTATGATGAAAATGAAATATTGGCAGAAGTAGAAGATCACAGAGGAAGAGAAGTGAGAATTTGTGTGACCTAAACTGTATTTTGCTTATTTTCCATATGTTTAAAGGGAATCTTAATTAAGAATTACTGGCATTCCATATTTTAGTTTTTTTGTTTTGAGGTTTTTTAAACTGCAACTTTCCCTTATGGCATTTGTCAAAAAGTTTAGCGATATGAGTATTCAACCTTTGGAGTTTGTCCGCATTACAAAGTATTACTCTATTTGTGATAGTGAGGTAAAGGACTTTGACTTGGTGAGTTCTGTGTGGTATATCTGGGGAAGCAGAGAGAATGTGTTTTATATAACTGCATTTCCTGCATTTCGGTTTTGCACAGCCGCACACTTAAAGCGTTCTACAACTGGCAAATATCTAGACCCGATTATCTCTAGGAAATACTCCCTCCTCAGCTAGACCACCTTCCCCTACAAAGTCCCAATGAATTGTTTGATTTCCTCCTCATTCTTTTCATTAGATCAAGCCATATTATTTGGATGACCCATGTCACAGCCCAAATATTAAATATACATCAGCGATATTGTGAAGAACCCACAAATTGCAGAGAGTATATGTTTCATTAAACAATTATGAACACTGAAACCTCTCATATCTAACAGGACTGGTTTGAAAATGATTCCCAAACAAAGCAAAAATGTGATGAATTTTGGCTTTTTTTTTAAAAAGCTTAATTTTATCAGACATTATTATGTTTAAAATATAAAATGCCATTTAATATGACTAATGAATTGAACACAGCTGGAATAATAATCGAAAAATATTCCTAAACAAACAGGCCAAGTTCAGTTCATTGCTATTCATCGAAGTCCCCGTCTGTGTTCGCAAACAGTCTGACAGCCATGCAATTATTCAGAAAAGCGCTCGACAATGCTAAATTCCTCTCAAATATTGAGACAAATAGTTGATCTATCAATCTGTAACAAAAGCTTGCTAATTATTAATTATTCCCTATTCTCTTGTTTAAAATCCTTTGATCCTCCAGTCTTGGAGCAAAACCTATAACATGGGACATATTATAGATCAGGAACAACAGAGACTGAATAGTGAATAGTTAACAGGAACTTTTCCCACACATCCTAGTCTTACCAATTTGGAGAACAGGTTCAGTTTCACGACTATTCATAGAAATCAGAAAAGATTCAGGAATGATTCATTTCCAAAAAAGGGCGTAAATTGTAACAAATACTGAATATATTTGTAAGAAAACTCCACTTTGACCAGTTTAAGCAGAATTTCACACAAATTATATTTTAAGGAAATCCAGCAAACCCAACCAAAATGTAAATATTATGGGTAGGATTTTCAAAAGCACTCAGCCTTAGTTTAACTCTACCCTCATTGAATTTAATGGGAATTTACCACTGACTTCTATGAGAGCAAAGTTAGGCCAATCCTATGCGCTTTTGAAAATCCCTCCATAAAACTCCAGCAAATTCACATTTTAATATTGAAGAACATAAACACATACATCAGGATACTTATTTAACATACAGTAATGCTATCGTACTCACAGCTTTCTTAGGTGAAAAACATTGAAATAAGAATTAAATATCACATAGGATCACTTGAAAATCACTTGTCCTTGCCTTGAGTGCAGGGGACTGGACCTTTCGAGGTCCCTTCAGTCCTACTCTTCTATGATCATACATTTGTATACATGTAGTAAGTGTGGGAGTGCAGTGTCCAGGGAACAAGGAGGATTCAGAGAGGTCAATATGAAGACCTACCAGCTGGTCTGTTTCAACCAGTTCATACAACCTGTTAGTGCATGCTGTCCCATGCTTGTAGTCCTCATAATTATTTGAAAACAATGTGAGGCAAACGGGGAATAAGTAATTTCCTACTACATTTTGAAGTGAGCTGTAGCTCACGAAAACTTATGCTCAAATAAATTGGTTAGTCTCTAAGGTGCCACAAGTCCTCCTTTTCTTTGTGCGAATACAGACTAACACGGCTGTTACTCTGAAACCTACTACATTTTAACATTCGTTCTAAACTGAAATCTTCAATCATGTCAAAATATGTAAATCAGAATTAAACTACAAAAGCATACCTGGAAATAGAGATTCTTGCAGATCACGCAGACAAGCGAGGCCTTTGTTGGAAAACACTGTTTTGGTAAGTGGGGGTGCACATGACACACTCAGCTCAGCCCTGAAAGCTTCACACAAATTTGAAATCTCTAGAAACATAAATTAAAGCTCATGTTAATACACTATTACTGCACCTCTTCACCACCATAAAGAATTTTACTCTGTATGCACAGAATTGATTTGGTTTTTCCATTGTAAATGAACTGGTGCAGCATATGCACCCTGTCGAAACTTCAAATGAGATGAGGTTAATTAATTTAACTGGAGGTGCTTATCTGGGAACCCATTCACAGCTGCAGTGTGTCCCCCTTCAGGTGGCAGAAAGGGTAGAATCTTATTGCCACAAGTTGGGAGTATGCAGTGGGTTTTCGGTTGCAAAGAATTGGGTCCCTCCATTCCTGCGGCAATCGTCACGGGAGGAAAGGGTTAAGGAAAAGGCATAAATCAGGACCATGATATTGGATCTTGGTCCTGTTGTTTTCATCTGTAATTATTTCTTGGATTACCCTGGGATAAGTATCCCCAGTTTTTGGTGCATGCTAATGAATGAAAAGTTGGAGGTCAAATAAGGTTTCCACTATTTATGATTAGATTAAAAATTGATGACCCTCAAGCTTGGCTTGTATTGTCAAAGCTCATGTAGATGATTTTGCAGGATTTGGGTTGGCACAGTTGGTGCGGACTGGTTATTGGGTGCCGCAGAAACCAAAGATTATAGGCGAGTGCTGTTTGCATCTGACCAAAAGAGCAGAAAGCTACTCGTAACTTATAATAGCAGGTACGGTAATAAAATTACAGACAGAAGTCCCTATAATCTTGTAAGAGTCTGGGGTACCAACCAGTGACTTAAGACCACTTATCACATCACCAATGGCACCGCCATGCTAGAAATACTGACGTTAGCGCTAATATGGAAAAATAAACTACAAATTTTGATTTTTTTTTCATGTTGACCTGGGTCAGTTGCCATCATCAAGGATGTCCATTCGTTGGCTGTCATCCTCATGATCTCATTGCCCTTCACAGTCCATGAGTCCGGAGTCTCCGAAAACACAACACAACAAAACGGCTGGATTCTCACAGCACAGACATAACCATACAAGTTTTGATCTTCGTCATACACCTCCAGCATTTTGCATTCTAAGTTCACTCCAGGCAGAGAACTGCAGAAATGTGAAATGGGTAATTTCCCCTTAACATGTTCTATTACTTCTTTTAATTCACTGATATTTACTTTGTCATTCCTACATCCAACAACTGTCCCGTTATCATCCACTCCAATAAATAAAAATCCTCCTTGTGTGTTTGCAAAGGCAGAGATGTAATTTGGCAGGATCTCTTTCATGTATTTCAAAATGTTCTTTGTTGTAAAATTCTTAAATTCAACATGCGTCGACTCCGTGAAATTTAGTTTCTCCCCAAAGCAGAGACCGTCTCTTTGATAAAATCTTTCAGCAGATATATACAGGTTTTGTTCCTGCTGAACGTCACTTAGCAGAGCTTTCTTAGCTCTTGGTCCTGTCCCCTCACCACGTTTTCTCCTGGCAGAAACTTCCTTCTCTTTGAGAAATTGCACTGCTTCAGTAGGACTCATGCTGTCAGTTCGAGTCAGAGATCTTTGGCACAAGCCTGTCCTTAGGCTGCAAATACGGGGTGAAGATGAGCCGTCACTGCTCCATGACTTCACAAAAATTAACACACAGTTGTTTTCCCGCATATATTCAAAATCAAAGTATTTTCGAGACATTTTAGATGGAGTAAGTTCTGTAAGGGCTTTTTCTATATCCTGTCCAATCCCATGTTCTTCATAATTGTAGTCCTTATTATCAACCTCTGCCTTTATCACTCCTCCTCCTGAATTCAGAAATGCACATGCTGCTCGGGAAATGTTACCAACTTGTTTCCTTCTCAGATTGCAATCTGTCATCTTCTTCCTGGATTTCTCGCCAAAAGTCACTTTTCCCACTTTTAAAACCGCATCCGGATAGTCTGTGAACCAATCAACACAGAGAGGGCTCTCCTCCATGGTCATCGTGTTCCTGAAACAATGAAAGCAACAGGTCTCCCTTAAAACATTACACAGAACAAAGTGGCAGGTTTCAGAGTAGCAGCCGTGTTAGTCTCTATTCGCAAAAAGAAAAGGAGGACTTGTGGCACCTTAGAAACTAACCAATTTATTTGAGCATAAGTTTTCGTGAGCTACGGCTCACTTCATCGGATGCATACTGTGGAAAGTACAAAAGATCTTTTTATACACACAAACCATGAAAAAATGGGTGTTTACCACTACAAAAGGTTCTCTCTCCCCCCACCCCACTCTCCTGCTGGTAATAGCTTATCTAAAGTGATCACTCTCCTTACAATGTGTATGATAATCAAGTTGGGCCATTTCCAGCACAAATCCAGGTTTTCTCCTGACCCCACCCCACCCCACCAACCCACTCTCCTGTTAGTAATAGCTTATCTAAAGTGATCACTCTCCTCACAATGTGTATGATAATCAAGGTGGGCCATTTCCAGCACAAATCCAGGTTTTCTCCCCACCCCACCCCCCACCACAAACCCACTCTCCTGTTGGTAATAGCTTATCTAAAGTGATCACTCTCCTCACAATGTGTATGATTATCAAGGTGGGCCATTTCCAGCACAAATCCAGGGTTTCTGGGGACATACTGCTGCTTTCCTTGGGAGTCATTCCTAGGCAGTAAGGATTTACCCTTCCACTTTCAGAGCGTTTCAGAAAAAACTGAAACACACAGAAAGGAATCAAACTGTTCGTTACATGGAAATAAATCCCCACTGGAGAAATTTAGCCCATGCTCATCTAGGGAGGAGTTAAAGTGCTCTCAGTTTCCATTGTAAGGACAATAAAACTCTGCTACTGTCTCTAAACTCTGTTAACCCACCAGGGCAAGCAACTGTCTCCAGCAAAACAGCCCCTGCAGCAAAGCTCTGACCTTTTCTTCACCACCTTTTCCAAAACCTACTTGAAACACTTAAGGGCCCGGCCCTACAAGCCCCCCCAGTCTGCAAATTCCCCCTGCTTCCCAATGCATGTGCAGAATGTTCTCCAATTCAGGACTATCTCCACTGTTTGCTTTCAAGGATCTTGGCTTTTTCTGTGCAGGAAGAAATGTCTTAGAAAAAAACAGGAAACTGATGTTAGCCGAGTGCTCACGCTCAGGGCTGTGACCACGCCACGATAGGACCCCAGTACCCCGCTGCCCGTCTGTTTCCTTGTAACCAGGTCAGTTTCTCATGTTTGCAACTTGCTCTCAAAGTGCCAGACGTTTCACGTCATGTCAGCTTTGGCTGGGGGGGAGGGAGAAACGCCAGGGGAAAGGGAAAGGGGCTGATTTCCAACCGGAGCTCCTTGACCCCAGCTTTAAGCGCAGCACTGATCAGCCCTCACTACAAAGAATGGTCCGAAGTCTCGTTCACACGGACGCCACTTCACGCCGCTTTGGCAGCGTGAAAGGGCCTTAAAGTGGCTGTAAGTGATATTCACACTAGGGCCCCTCACTTTACACTCCTGCGTGAAATCCTGGCCCCACTGAAGTCAATGGCAAAACCCCAGGGTGGTGTAAAGTGGTTCTAGTGTAAATGAGAATCAGCCCCCCACCAAGACCAAGACACAATTGCTGCTCTCGGCACCACAAATCCGAGACTGACTCCAAGGACCTGCCCCAGTGTTCCCGAGCAGGGGGCCGCCCAGGAGCCTTCTAACCTGGGTTTCTGACCTAGGAGATGCCGGCTGGAAATCCCGCGGGGGATCAGTAGCGGGGCTGATCATTATACACGGCAGCGGGCACATGCCGTGTCCGGGGGGGCTGGCCGCGCTCCGCCCCCCCAGCCCAGGGGAAGCGAGTCTGACCTTGCTTCTCTTCTGCTCTTCGGAGTTTGCTCGGCCGACGCAGACAAGGCGCCTCTCGGAACCGATCTCAACTCCCCACCTCCCGAGCGCTGAAAGAAACGCTCCTCTTGGCCTCAGTTCATTTCACTCCCCCCCGCGGCTCGGGCCCTGGGTCCTAGCGCTACTGAGGTGACCGGACAGGGCGGAGTCTGCGACAGAGACAAAACCGGCCGAGTTGGACCCACAGCGCCGAGCAGACGCGGGGCTAACCCTGAAGAGCTCTGCCAGCAGGAAGACAGGCGAGGGGGCCAGGAACTGCTGAGGTCTACCCACCCCCCCAAGCCAGAAACAGGATGCTGTAAAACGTCATCTGATTTCTTTGTAACCAAGGAAATTGTGGATACAGTCTAACAGGGCTACCCCCTGGTATGGGACCCTGTGATTCTGCTATAAGAGTGTCCACCCCCAGAGGCATGCATGGAAATACCTGAAGGTGTGAATTAAACCCCAGCTGGTTATTTTGGTCCCACTTTGCATGTAGACAAGGCCTTAACCTCTCTTTGCCTCCACTCTTACATTTGTACAATGAGGCTGGATAATCACCTGGAGGATGTGAGGATTAATTAATTTGTACAGTATTTGAAGGTGAAGGGTGGGATTTTCAAAGCTCCCAGAAAGATCTGGGCACCCAGTTCCCATTAGAAGTTAGGTTTCAGAGTAGCAGCCCCGTTAGTCTGTATTCGCAAAAAGAAAAGGAGGACTTGTGGCACCTCAGAGACTAACCAATTTATTTGAGCATGAGCTTTCGTGAGCTACAGCTCACTTCATCGGATGCATAAAAGTGGAAAATGCAGTGAGGATGTTTTTATACACACAAACCATGAAAAAATGGGTGTTTACCACTACAAAAGGTTTTCTCTCCCCCCACCCCACTCTCCTGCTGGTAATAGCTTATCTAAAGTGATCACTCTCCTTACAATGTGTATGATAATCAAGGTGGGCCATTTCCAGCACAAATCCAGGGTTTAACAAGAACGTCTGAGGAACGGGAGGGGGGACGGGAGGGGGGAGGGGGGGAGGAAAAAACAAGGGGAAATAGGTTACCTTGCATAATGACTTAGCCACTCCCAGTCTCTATTCAAGCCTAAGTTGATTGTATCCAATTTGCAAATGAATTCCAATTCAGCAGTTTCTCGCTGGAGTCTGGTTTTGAAGTTTTTCTGTTGTAATATCGCAACTTTCATGTCTGTAATCGAGTGACCAGAGAGATTGAAGTGTTCTCTGACTGGTTTATGAATGTTATAATTCTTGACGTCTGATTTGTGTCCATTTATTCTTTTACATAGAGACTGTCCAGTTTGACCAATGTACATGGCAGAGGGGCATTGCTGGCACATGATGGCATATATCACATTGGTGGATGTGCAGGTGAACGAGCCTCTGATAGTGTGGCTGATGTTATTAGGCCCTGTGATGGTGTCCCCTGAATAGATATGTGGGCACAGTTGGCAACGGGCTTTGTTGCAAGGATAGGTTCCTGGGTTAGTGGTTCTGTTGTGTGGTATGTAGTTGCTGGTGAGTATTTGCTTCAGGTTGGGGGGCTGTCTGTAGGCAAGGACTGGCCTGTCTCCCAAGATTTGTGAGAGTGTTGGGTCGTCCTTCAGGATAGGTTGTAGATCCTTGATAATGCGTTGGAACACCATCCCCGATAATGTCACGGCAAACCTGGTGGCTGAACTTTGTGACTTTGTCCTCACCCATAACTATTTCACATTTGGGGACAATGTATACCTTCAAATCAGCAGCACTGCTATGGGTACCCGCTGGCCCCACAGTATGCCAACATTTTTATGGCTGACTTAGAACACCCTTCCTCAGCTCTCGTCCCCTAATGCCCCTACTCTACTTGCGCTATATTGATGACATCTTCATCATCTGGACCCATGGAAAAGAAGGCCTTGAGGAATTCCACCATGATTTCAACAATTTCCATCCCACCATCAACCTCAGCCTGGACCAGTCCACACAAGAGATCCACTTCCTGGACACTACGGTGCTAAAAAGCGATGGTCACATAAACACCACCCTATACCGGAAACCTACTGACTGCTATTCCTACCTGCATGCCTCCAGCTTTCACCCTGACCACACCACACAATCCATCGTCTACAGCCAAGCTCTACGATACAACTGCATTTGCTCCAACCCCTCAGACAGAGACAAACACTTACAAGATCTCTATCAAGCATTCTTACAACTACAATACCCACCTGCTGAAGTGAAGAAACAGATTGACAGAGCCAGAAGAGTACCCAGAAGTCACCTACTACAGGACAGGCCCAACAAAGAAAATAACAGAATGCCACTAGCCATCACCTTCAGCCCCCAACTAAAACCCCTCCAATGCATTATCAAGGATCTACAGCCTATCCTGAAGGATGACCCATCACTCTCACAAATCTTGGGAGACAGGCCAGTCCTTGCCCCCCCCTCCCCAGCTCACCTCCGCCGCCCCTCTGAGCATGCCGCATCCCCACTTCTCCTCCCAGGCTTGCCGCCACAAAACAGCTGTTTTGTGGCGTAACAAGCACTGGGAGGGAGGGGGGAGGAGGGGAAACACAGCACACTCAGGGAAGAGGCGGGGCTGGGGTGGGGATTTGGGGAAGGGGTCCAATAGGAGCAGGAAGAGGGTGGAGTTGGGGCAGGGACTTTGGTGAAGGGGTTGGAATGGGGACAGGGTAGGGGTGGAGTTGGGGCGGGGTCAGGGGGCGTACGAGCATCCACCGGCACCAGGAGAAGTTGGCGCCTATGGTTATAACACTACAAGGCCCTGGCCACTAAAATCCAGTTTGTTCTTGCCAACATAGATGGGACCAAGCTCCATTTTAGCTGGGTCAGCGCATTGCTGTGCTGAAAGAAATCCCCCAGCATTGCAGGTTTTTTAATAGATGGTGTCATAGATATAAAGGGAAGGGTAACCACCTTTCTGTATACGGTGCTATAAAATCCCTCCTGGCCAGAGGCAAAACCCTTTCACCTGTAAAGGGTTAAGAAGCTACGATAACCTTCCTGGCACCTGACCAAAATGACCAATGAGGAGACAAGATACTTTCAAATCAGGAAGGGGGGAAACAAAGGGTTCATCTGTCTGTGTGATGCTTTTGCGGGGAACAGATCAGGAATGCAGCCTTACAACTGTTAGTAAGTAATCTAGCTAGAAATGCGTTAGATTTCCTTTTGTTTAATGGCTGGTAAAATAAGCTGTGCTGGATGGAATGTATATTCCTGTTTTTGTGTCTTTTTGTAACTTAAGGTTTTGACTAGAGGGATTCTCTATGTTTTGAATCTGATTACCCTGTAAGGTTTTTACCATCCTGATTTTAAAGAGGGGATTCTTTTACGTTTTCTTTAATTAAAATTCTTCTTTTAAGAACCTGATAGATTTTTCATTGTTCTTAAGATCCAAGGGTTTGGGTCTGTGTTCACCTGTACAAATCGGTGAGGATTCTTATCAAGCCTTCCCCAGGAAAGCGGGTGTAGGGCTTGGGGGGATATTTTGGGGGAAGATGTCTCCAAGTGGGCTCTTTCCCTGATCTTTGTGTAAGATGCTTGGTGGTGGCAGCATAAGGTTCAAGGACTGGGCAAAGTTTGTACCTTGGGGAAGTTTTTAACCTAAGCTGGTAAGAATAAGCTTAGGGGGTCTTTCATGCAAGTCCCCACATCTGTAGCCTAGAATTCAGAGTGGGGAAGGAACCTTGACAGATGGCATGAAATAATACAGGTTTTTCCTATCTTAAGGAAAGCCAAGTGAATTTATCCGCTGACCAAAAGGCCTTTTTTAGTGTCTCATTTATTCCTAACAGCAGAAGAAAATGTACATTTTAGCACATTGTTGAAGCTCATCACACCCTCAGCCCAACCCACCTGTAGCTAGTGTTCCAACTATTTGACAATGTCCTGCTAGTTTAAGTGTTTTCAGTTTCTACTTCAGGATAACCGTCTCTTAGGGTCTGTCTACACTTGCAGAGTTTTTGCGCTGTAAGTTTCACTGGTGATAGGGAACTGGTGAAAGTAAAGCGCTGGTTTGTGTCCTCCCTTCATTCCTCAGACATCAGAGAGTGTTCACATTAGCAGCACTTCCATCGCTGATGGGAGCAGCGTACTCAGGGCAGCTATCCCACAGTGCAGCTCTCTCCAGTTTGATGATAGGTCCTGCGAGAAGGGGCTGGGGGCTGGGTCCCTGCACAGCCGCCTCTCCCCAAACACTGATCAGCTGCAGTAGGTCAGCATTGCTCCAAGCAGGGGATCCTTTGCTCCATGGAGCAGCTATCGTCACCTGGCCAGATAAGTGAGCACTTGCCAAGAAAACAGGAAGGGGAGTTTCAAAGTTCCTGGGGCTTTACAGGGGTAGGGGTGGATGTCTGTTTACCTGGCAACAGAGGAGCAGCACTGCTGGCCAGAGTGGTCACCTAGGCACTGTGGAATATCCTCAGGAGGCTAAAAGCTGTGTAAAGAGGAAGAACATGTCTTCACTTGCACATCACCGCAAAAGCATCCCCGGTAAGAGCTGTACGCCTCTCGTGGAGGTGGTTTTCCTTTTCCGGTGAAACTTCTGAGTTTCACTGCAAAAAGTCATTGGCAAGTGTAGACGCTCCCATGATTTCTGCACAAAAAAGGGACTTTTTCCGCTTTAAATAGCAAGTGTAGACATGCCCTTGTATATTACCCAAGTCATTCAGGCCTTGCCTTCACTAGGAAAAAAAGTGAACTTGAGGCTCCTCACTGGGGTTTATCTTGACCAGCTAACATGTGTTAAGTTTAAAACTTGCCTTGTCTACACTAGAAGTTTAACACAAGTTAGTTAGTTAGCACATGTTTACTAAGATATATTTAAAAAGACACATTTGTACTATTAAAGGCAAGTCCTGATTACTTAGGTCAGATAAAAACGTCAGTTTTCCTGAAATAGACACTGAAAACACTTTGATTTAACAGGCATTCGCTGCTATGTTTTAAAACACACATCTTTTTCTGAGTATAAACGGGTCCAAAAAAAAAAAAAAAAGAAAAAGAAAAAGAAAAAGAAAATTAGGAGAGGTCATTCAGCCAGGACCTGCCACATTCACAAGCCCATGAAAGTGACGTCTGGATTCACCTGTTTTCACTTAGCAGCTGTGCCTGTCGGAGTGCAGAGCTCGGTGTCTGAAGGATAGAGAGCATATTATTAGCAGCATAGTAGTGCCTAGCAGCCCAAGCCCAAGGGACAATGTTTGGCTAGAACTGGAGATACCATATGCCAGAGTGTTCACTGTGAGGGGTGGCAAACAACCAGAATAAGAAACAAACATATTGTGACCTATAAATGAAGATTTGTTTAATGAGCCGGGATGTGGATTCTGTGTAGTTGAAGCATACTGTGGAATGTTGTATGAAGCATGTTGTATGAATCTTCTTTATATCCAGAAATAAAAACATTTGACCTACTACAGACTCTATACTGCCTCACAGTGCTCTAAATTAAAAATATATATATTCAAATTAGTTATTGCAGAAAACAAATTGTATAGTAATAACGATAAGATGTTAAAGTATTTGCCACATATAATTCTGCAATCTTTTTTTAGTATTATTCCTCCTTGCTACAATCAGTAATACAGCAATTCACAAAATAAAAATAAGAAATCAGATTGCAATGAGTCAGAGCAAGCGATCTACACTATCACAATATGACAATCCACACAAAAGGCAATTTTTTAAATTAAAGTAATCACCAGGTTATTTAATTTAAAGTTCAGAGAGAGAAGTAACAATGTAGTTAGCATCTAATTACCATTCTGTTCCCTTTGTACTATCATAATGATTCAACAGTTTTCAGATAGATTGATGATTGATATTATGTTTGTGCCCTGGAACTTAAAGCATTACATACATAACCACCACTGTGGATATATGTACAATGTATGCGGCTCAGGATGGACAGATTTGTGCTACCACATCAGTTTTTATTTCTGTGCAAGCGAGTTTGTAATGAGTGGTTTCAGAGTAGCAGCCGTGTTAGTCTGTATTCGCAAAAAGAAAAGGAGGACTTGTGGCACCTTAGAGACTAACCAATTTATTTGAGCATAAGCTTTCGTGAGCTATATCCGATGATGCATCGGATGAAGTGAGCTGTAGCTCATGAAAGCTTATGCTCAAATAAATTGGTTAGTCTCTAAGGTGCCACAAGTCCTCCTTTTCTTTTTTTGTACTGAGTGTATAGCAGCTGAGTGGGATGCACAGTGAATGAGGATTGCTCAGAATTCTAGAGCTTGTTGATTTAATTGGTTTGGGTTTTCTTTTACTAATTCAATTTGCAGTCAGGGAACTTGAGTATTTTATTGAAGTGTGTTTTTTCTTTAACAAGATACTTATCTTGTATATATTCATATGTACACACACGCACGCGTGCACCACACACACACACACTCTTCAGTGTGTCTGGAGAGGTATTTTTTCACTGGTGCTTTTGAATATTTGGGACACACCATAAACAGAGGTTTACATTTTTTCTCACATGCTCTACAAATTCTGGTTGGCAATGACAGGTAGATTTTTTGAGTCATCAGCCCAGGAGAGTAATCAAAGCCATGCTTGCAGATAAGACTACCTAGAGTTAGGGTGGAGATGTAGAGGAGGAGGGGAAGAGGAGGAGGAGCTGTGAGGACACTGTGAAGAGGAGCTGTGAAGAGGACACTCTCAGAAAAGGGGAGGATGATGGCCCATCAAACACAGCGCTTAGAGAGCAATCAAAGAGATGGGAGAAGAACCACAAAAGGACAGAACCACAAAAGCCAGCTGAGGACAACATTTCAAGAAGGAGGGAGTGGTCAACAGTGTCAAAAGCTGCCAACAGGACAAGGAGGTTAAGGATGGAGCACATACCCTGAGATTTGGCCACAAAGAGTACATTAGAGACTTTAGAGGAGTGCAGAGGGCAGAAACTAAACTGGAGAGAGTCAACAACAGAAGTGGAGGACAGGCACTCCAGACAGCAGTTACAGACCTCACGTTCAATCAGTTTGTGAGTGCACCACCGTCAGCTTTTTCGTACTTTGCACTCTTCCATACAACAAATGAAGTTGTAAATTAGCTCTGGATACCACACAGAGTAAAAGATTGTTCGAAATCTCCTCCTGTGTAGGGACTGGTTTGATACTGAATACGATGCTCCTTTCCAGGCCAGAAAAGCGATGGATGCTGTCAAGAACAATGCCATGTCCCAGCACATCATCTGCCATTGTGAAATCTGCATCCAGCTTGAAATTCTTCATCTCATTTTCCATTTTGGGCTGTAGCACGTGACGATATTTATCCTTCTCTTTCACTGTGCTGCACAGGATAGCAATGTCTTTCCCAGAGTAACCATTTTGAGAAATATTGGAGACAGTTTTCAACCACATATGTTACTATTTCATCCTCTTCCAAGTTTCTTTCTACCTTAGAAACACCTGGCAGGGGATGGGCACATTCAGCTTCATCCAACAACATTCTTAACCGCTGATGAGGAATATCTATTTGTTGATTTCTTACAATCTTCTCCATCTCTTGTGCCATGATGTCGTATATCTGGGTGGCATTCCGGACCCTTTTGGTGAGCCACTCCTGAGGACATTGTTCTGATGGATGTGGAAGACCGCATGGAAATGTGTGACTTGTTCTCAGGCTATAGAAGAGGAGCAAAAAACCCACTCCATCCAGAAGGAACACTGGGAGGACTTCTGTTATCATGGTCTGAGTCTAAAGTAATTTTGATTTTGAAAGACTTTTGAAAGACCAGGCCAGGATGAGTTGGTGCCAGGGAATGCAAAGGGCCCACGAAGAAACAGTGGCTCCCTGTGATGATCCCACCACAGCACCCAAGTACCTGAGCCTAGTCCGTGCTAGAATTCACAGCATTGTGAGCACTGATGCAGCTGTATGTAATTTTGTCCTGGACTTGCCCCAAAGGGGACTGCAACCTCTCCTACACTGGAGAGCTCAGAAGCCTGAAGAATGGGTGGTGCTGGCCACGGAGGGCTGTGTAAGAGCAGGCAGGTGTGCGCTGATTCCAGCTCATCTCAGCTACAGCCTCTGCCAGCCAGGTTTGTATACAGCATCCAGCAGATACCAAAGCTGCCCTCCCGCAGTTTACCCCCAGGGAAGACAGCAATACAAACACTATTTGCCATCCTCTAGGGAGGAATCTCCTCTAGGGTGCAGGGGGTTAGCTGGCTTCTGGGGGTGCATTTGCATCTCCCTGTACTAGCGGAGGGGTTAATCTGACCCAAAATGGTTTAAGGTGGTTTGTGGAGAAAGCCGTTCCAAATGCCATTATACCTGTCCAGATTGTTCTGTAACATGAAAACGACTAGCTCATCTGTGGCATCATTTCAAGCTATGCCTACACTGGCAAACTTCAGACCGATAATTCTCCACTGGCTGTAGCAATAATAGGAACTGTTAATGTAGACAGGGTGCAGGCATGTCTACCACTGTGTCATCTACTGTGACCTTGTGTGGAGCTACACTGCCGGGGAATTAGGAGTCTGTTTGTTCATACTGTAGACAAGGCCTGAGAGCAGGAAGGTCTTTCTACAGCTTGTAAAAGATTTTTGGGTATTGATTTTCCTCTCCCTCCCCCCCATTTTAGATACATTTGGGCACAATGTTGACTTACATATAAATTGCTCACCTCACAAATTCACTCAGTGGCTGGTTCTCACATAGGTAGAGAATATCTTCAGACTTGCAATGAGACACGTTTTTTATCTTCTCTATGATTTTCAGGGCCACTGTCGTTTTCCCATTTCCTGGCAGGCCATAAATAAATTGCTTCTTGATCTTATGGAAATCTGTTCTTAGTAACTCATATTGTTTAACAGTGAGGAGATTGAAAAACTCACACCCAAGGCTGTCACTTAAAAAGGACCTAAAACCCAGTAAGATTATCACAAGTGAGTCCAGTAATTTTGGCATGTCCTTGTGGGATACATTGTAGCTACCAGGGTACTTAACTTGCAAATCCAACTCTGTATTTCCTTCTTCATTGGTTCCAAGCTGTAGGAGATGGGGAATCACACACACTCTCTGAGTGTATCCCCCAACATTTACCAGTTTCTGTTTCAATGCACGAGCAGTTTGTCTTGCATATTCAAACATATTCACAGAACAGTCCTTCTGAGTCACAGTGTACAGCATTGGGTGTTTGCCTGCGGCTATTAAGAGAGCATCACAGACAACTTGCTGATTCTCTGGCAATCCGATATCTACAGCCCAGCTCCTTGAAAATATCAGTAGTCCCTGAGATGCCTGCAGCTCTTCCATTTGCTCGTTCATTAAATTCTCCAGCCCTGGATACTTTGAGAACAGCTCTTTGGTGAGGTTTTCTGGTGTGTATGTTATCCCATTAGAAATTACTAGAAATTGAGAGAATTAGAAAAATATTAACAAATTTTATGTCCAATTTCTTTTCTTCTTCCTTTTATTAAGACACTGCAGTACAGTTTGAAAAGTTGTTCCAACTGAAGGTATTGATGGTAAAAATAAAAGGAGTACTTGTGGCACCTTAGAGACTAACAAATTTGTTAAACTGGTTAGTCTCTAAGGTGCCACAAGTCCTCCTTTTCTTTTTGCGGATACAGACTAACACGGCTGCTACTCTGAAACCTGATGGTAAAAATGTTGGATTGGCAATCCTGACGGCTGAAGTCCCTTATGCACAGAACCCGTACAGCCTGAGCAATGGCAAATGGGCTTTCCTGTGACCCATGGCCCCAACCCCCTGCCCATAATCATCCACCAGTGAGTCTCAGCTATACTCTGTAGGGACCCCCATAGGGATGAGAGGGGAATTCAGTCTCCATGGGCCACTAATTCCTGGGCACCTCTGCTCACACTGCCAAAGGAGGGGCCACTTGCAAAAAGTTTTTAACTGTCCCATCTTCACCAAAGTTCTGAGCTGCTGTTTCTGCCACTTTTCCTAACTACTCTCTTAACACTTAACTCCTTTTCTAAAGCTGAATTAGGAGCTGTTAATAATTACTTTTTATAAAAGAAACAGAGTTACTCCCTTGCATACAGTTTTGCAGGATTGGGCCGTTAGCCCATTTTTAGGTGTCAAATCATTCACAAAGCTGTCTTGATTTCTGCAAATGCATTTGTCATCCCCAGGGACTTGCGGAATATTTGAATTACGTGATGAATAATTTTCAGACTGCAGATTGTTCACAAACGCTTTGCTTTTCCTGTTTGCTATTCGTGATGTACTGGTCACACAGTAATGATTCTGCTCCCTGACAGCATGACAGAAACTTTTCAAACAGGAGAATAAATAATAATACCTAACCAGCATGAATGTTCAGAAAAATTGTCGTGCGTGCAAAAATCTGTGACTGTTGAAATTTGGTAATATTTTCAGCGAATAAGTAGTAAGACTTCACAAATAGTAGCAGACTGAACTTGGGCTATGTATTCAGGAATCTGTTTTCTTATTCAGAGAGCTCCACTGAGCTTACAAATAAAGGCCCTGATCCTGCAAACTCTGATGCACACACTTTGAAATCTACTGATGAAAAGCGCTATATAAGAATTAGGTATTATGATGCATTTGCTTAACTTTACTATGGTGAGTGGTTAGGATGGGAGCCAAAACTTTTTTAGGCACTTTTGCATTCTACAAGCATTTCACCTGAAATGTTTCCTGGAAATGGGAAGCTGGTCTACTGTCTCCCGAGGCTGGGTACCCCTTTCTCTCCAAATCGATGGTTTTGTCAGCTTCACTCATCTTCTAGCTTCATGGGAGCACCAGTGAGTGCCCCCTCAGTCCTTATAAAAGTCTCCCTTATAGCTGAGAGGAAAGACTCACTATTTTACTTCAGTCTTGCATGCTACTGAACAAGCTACAGAACACACCCCACAATCTCTGTATCTGCAGCGACTCCCCAGATGCCTCGTCAGGGATTATTTTGTGTGGCTCTGTGATGGGGTGTATTCGACCTTTGCAGCCTCCTGCTGGGGGCGCCGTGGTCCTACTACACCCCACCCCAACAAGCAGCAAGGTGAGAGGGGAAAAGCAGCGAAGGTGGGTCCTCCAGCTTGCCTAGAGAGGACTCTCCAGAGCAGCTGTTCTGGAAACCACAGAGACCTGGGACTAGAGGGGCTAGGAACAGCCAATAAGGGCCCTGCTGGCCCAGATAAAAGGAGCCACCTGCCTTAGCAGTTCAGCTCCAAGCTGGGACCAGAGGTATGTGGAAGGGTGCTCCTCTCTGGCCAAAGGAGCTAGGCAATTAGTTATGGCTGGCTAGGCTTACATGGGGTGGGATCAGAGAAAGACCTGAAGACATTGGCCCTGAGATACAGCTGGAGATAAAGGACTGGTAGGAAGAGGCTCAGGGAAACTGCAGTAAAGGATTGAGTACATGGCTACTGTGTATAGGATCCCTGGGTTGGAACCTGGAGTAGCTGGTTCTGTATCTACCACAGGTGAAGAGGCATAAACCCCACAAAGGGGCAGGCCTTATTTGAGAGCCGAAAGGGCTGAATTTGCAGGGCTCAGAGCATGGGCCAAAGACCCTAGCAAGGACTCTTTAATACCCCAGAAGGGATTCATTTAGACTTTGTGACTTGGCTGGAGGGCCTAGCCATGGAAAACCTGCTAAGGTTGGCTGGCAGGGGGCACCGAGGTGAGAAAAGGACTGCAGCACTGCACCCAGCTGCTAGGAGGCACTCAAGAGGTGAGTGCCCCTTTACAGGCTCTAATTAACCAAACCATGCAAATTCACAACCTCCTAGTTTAAAGTAACACCTTTTTACACATGTAGCATGTAACTTTTGGTAACAAAGTTTTCCTTGCATACCCTGGGCAGGGCGGAACCTAAACAGTAGCCCTTGAGGGGAAAGAAGTGGGGATAATTTGGGGACAGACCAGAGGACTGCTTCAGTGTCTAGGGCCCTAGGGCTGCAGTTCTGGAAAAGGCACAACAAGAGCCCCTAGTGTGAGAAACCACTAGGTGACAGTGCTGTCATACCCTGGATGAGGGAGAGAAATGACAGACCCATGATGGAGATCCAGCGACTCTGAGAGAGGCTGGACAAAGGTGCGTGGAATGAAATTTTTCACCGGTGGTCACTGTGTGTTCATTTTCTGGGTGCTCAGTTTGAGACACCTAAAGTGCTGAGCTCTCACAAGTGTAGCTGAACTCAGCGGCAGTGCACGATGCTCAAATCCTCTGGCAGCCTGAAGGAGGGAGGACAAGGATGGGAGTCAAGAGGCCCTTGAATTTAATCCTTCCTCTGCCACTGATTCACTGAGAGGCCTTGGGTGAGTTGCTTCGTCACTGGATAACTAGAACATCCCAAATTTCTCACAAGCGTTCAGCAAAATCATACTTCATTTGCAAACTTATAGCAGAAGTTCATTACTTCTTATTACCTAGTGCCCTGTTTAAAATGGTTCAGTCATCCAGTCAGGGAGCAGATGTGGCTTAGGTGTTCAATCACACATCATGAAGAATGAACAATGAATAGTTGACAGGAACAGATTAGGAACAATCCACAGTCTGAAATTTATTCATCTTAATAGTTACAACAATTGAACATGTTCACGAAAATCAGGAAAGGTTCTGGAATGATTCGTTACTCAAAAAAAGCCTAAATTTGGAAACAGCATTATCATTTCATACACCTCCACCAGCTGTATAATGACATCAAAAAGTGAAATATAAAACAAATATTAAGGAAATCCAGCAGACCAAAACTAAATTCAATATTAAATGTCTGAGACCCCAAAGACCCCAGGAAATTCACACTTAAGTATAAAAGACACCTACAAGGACACCCATTTGACTTACAGTAATTATATAGCACCTGCACATTCTCTTATGTGAAAAACATTGAAATAAGAATTGAATATCACATAGATCACACATTCAAATAAATTAACCATGGTGAGGGAGGGTTGGCCAGAGAGGTAAGGAGGATTCGGAGAGGTCAAGGTTGGTCTGTTTTTCACCAGTTCATACGATATTGCTAGTGGCTTCAGTCCTTAATTCTTCAAAAGCCAGTATTGTGCGTGCATAGAACATCACTTCTTATTCCACTCTAATGTTATTTGTAAACCAAATGCCTTCAAACATGTCTGTCAATGTACAGAAACCAGAAATAAACTAATAAAAACCAAAAAGACATACCTGAAAATAGAGATTTTTGCAGATCACGAAGACATGTGATGCCTGGGTTGGAATACACCGTTTTAGTGAGTGGAGATCCACATGATACACTCAGCTCAGTCTTCAAGACATTAACTGGATTTGAAATCTCTTGAAAAGTAAATTAAAATTTAATATTAATATACTTATTTCACCCCAGCACCACCATAAGGATTTTTAATGAGCATGCCCTGAACTGCTCTCAGAATTGCTGTGGGTTTCGCATTTGCATTCATTTCACTCAAAATGAAATGAGATTAATTACTTTAACTGAAGGCCCTTATCTGGGTACCCAGCTGCTGCAGCAGTGTCCCTTACTTTATGGCTACCTTACGGTGGCTGAAAGAGTAGAAGAATTCATTCTTTTGCATACTGGAGATATGGAGACCCTGAAGTTGGGAGTTGATTGCAAGGGCCAAGCATGAAGGAGGCAAGGTAGGAAAAGTAAGGAGAAAGTATAAATCAGGACCAAGATATTTGATTGTCCCATTGGTTTTGTCTGTAATTATTTCATAAGGAGGTTGAAATTGGGAGAGAAAGAGCTTGATCTTTGGTTCACACTGATGAAGAAAAGGCCAGTGATCAATAATGTTTTCACCATTTGCGATTTGATTCAGGATGAGGGCCTCCCCTGGCAGGGTTAAGGAGGAACATGGTTTATGGTGTCTTCTGTATGCGGATGACACTCAACTTTCTGTTACTGTCTCTGCCAATTCAGATGATGTGGTACGTTTTGATGAAGACTGTGTCTGCCCTTTTAGGCCATCTTCGTGACAAAAAATTAGTGATGTTGACTACTTTAATGTAAAAACTATCCCTGCCTTGTCTCCACTAGAATTTCACATCGAGAGCCATCTTGAGTTACCTATCTCGGTGTAAAAACACACCTGTTTTGTCAGCGAAGACATAACCTCACTGAGGCTGTTTATCCACTATTTGCTACTCTTGTTTGCTACTTGGGAGTCTGGTTAGATTCCCAGTTAGTAATGGAGGGTTCTCTTTCAGTGTTAGCCAAAATGGCTTCCTCTGCTCGCATCTAACCAGGAGGTTGGATGTGAAGCTTGCTACCATGATTCCTGCTTTTGTCACCTTAGACTAGGTGTCTACAAAGTGCAGTACACAGGACTGCATCTTAAATTAATGCAGAAACCGAGGACAACGCCAAGTGTTACAATATTCTTGTTCAATGGGGCATCTCGCTGTTGAGCATATCACACCAGGACCTTGTCATCTGCTCTTGCTGTCTGTGGGTTTTTGAGTGGAATTTAAGGTGTAGGTTTTGACCTATAAAGTTCTAATGGCCTGGGACCTCCCAGATTGAGAGACACTTCTCAACTCAGGCCATACCACCACAACTGAGATTGGCGGAGGCACCTGAGCTGTCAGGATATCAGAGAGAGCAGGAGGCTGGCAGGGCATTCTCCTTGCGGGCTCCTCTATTTGAGAACTCACCCCTCACACACCCCTTTCTTGATCTTCATGATAAGCAGAAAGGCTCATCTGTTCATGGGGAATTTAGGAGGGAGATATTTCTTAAGGGGCAATATTTGAAGAGGATGGAGTATTTTTTCTCTCATTTCTGCTGTGCTATAAAAGGTTTTTAATTATTTCCTGCCATGTATAGTGCAGTTGAGGTGAGGGTTTGATTTTGTATTTAATTGTGGTTTTTCCCCCTAAACATCAAGGACAATGAGAGCTTGGGACAACCTCCATTTTTGTTTGCTCCTAGAACTGCTAAGAAATAATAATGAAAACCAAAGATTTCTGTAACCTCCACTCAGAGTAACAAACAGTAAGTGGTCCTAGGGTGATGAAGGACAGGTTTGATCCAAAGTGAGTCACAACCGTCAATCGGAAGAAAGTGATATAATCCTAGTCACCGCGGGATGTAATCCTAGTCACCTAGGGATGAGTGTCATTAAGGCAAAGGGGGGAGGGTTAACTGAATACTGTGATTCTTCCCATCTTCTTCCAGCAGTCATCTGCCAAGCCCCTCCTGGGCTCCATTCTCCATTGCCAGGTCCTGGCCTCTGTAGTGCTTCCTGTAGCTACTGGTCTCCTCAGCTCTCTCTATTCTGTCCTGCTTCTCTCATCCCAATAGGCCTTGCTACTGCTTGCATTCACCTGATCTAGCAGGAACCACTAGCACAGGTGATGGCTGGGGTCCTCTGCACGGCCCACCTCACCCTGTGACACGAGGCACAACACAGTGTGATGGAGGGTGACAAAATCAGGGCTTAAATGCTTCTCCTTCCCCCTTTGCTGTGTGAAACATCTCTGCAAACAGGAGAAACCGGCTGGGCTGTAGACACAGTGTTGTCCTAGAGTAAATGAACCGAACAAAGAAAATATTTTCCCCTCCAATTGTTTAGACATATAATACTTTTGGCCATATGTTATAACTTATGTCAGATTTTTTTTCATCTCACATTGTTATAAGTGATTTCTAAGTTGACAGTGTCCCTTTAAGAAAAGTATTGTGGGACACCAGTGACTTTAAGTTTTCGAACCACTTCATTTGTCAAGTTGCCAGTCATGCTACCAAGCTAGAAACACTGAAGTTTAGGTTAATATGGGAAAATAAACTCTTAAAGTTTATATTTTTAATCATTTGACCTGGATCGGTTGCCACCATCATAGCTGTCCAGTCTTCGGTCATCAGTCTCTCAATGCGGTCACTCTTCACAATCCATGAGTCAGGGTTATCCGAAAACACAGCGCAACAAAAGGGTTTGATTTTCACAGCACATAGATAGCCACGCAAGTTCCCATCATTATCCCGCACATGCAGGATTTTATGGGCAACATTCAGTTTTGCCTGAGAATTACAGATATGTGAGATAGGCAACTTCTTGCTGACATATTCTATTACTCTGCATAATTAATTGGTTTTAACATTTTCTTTGCTACATCCAACCACTTTCCTACTGTCATCCACTCCAATAAACAAATATCCCCCTTGTGTGTTTGCAAAAGCAGAGATATAATGTGGCAAGTTGTCTTCAATGTGTTTCAAGATGTTCTTTGAAGAGAACTCTTTAAATTCCACATGGGTCGACTCAGTGAAATTCTGTTTCTCACCATAGGTGAGGTGGTCTGCATTAAAAATATCTTCAGCAGAATCATGTATTGACCAGTGTTCAGGAAGAACAGATGTCTCAGCTCTTTGCTTTGTCTCATCAGATTCTCTCCTGTCACAAGCTTTCTTCATTTCAAGAAATTCTGCAGCCACGCCAGAATTCGTTCTCTCAGCAGAAGTGCCAGATCTTTGGTACAAGCCTGTTCTTATGCTGCAAATCCGTGGTGAAGGCAAAACTTCACTGCTCCAAGACTTCACAAAAATGAATAACTTGTTGTTCTGCTGCATACATTCAAAATAGTTTTCAAACTTTTTAGATGAAATGAGTTCCATAAGGGATTGTCCTATATCCTGCCCAAGCCCATCCTTTGTGTAACTGTAGCATTCGTTCTCAATCTCCGCCTCTACCAAGCCGCCTCCGGAGTTCAACAATGCACACGCTGCTTGGGAGATTTTACCATTTTGTTTCCTTTTCAGTTTGGTGTTGTGCATTTTGTTTCGTGTTTTCTCGCCAAAAGTTACTTTTTCAACTTTCACAACCACATCAGCATAGTTAGTTTTGAGATCAACAGACGGGTGCTCCTCTTTCAGGGCCATCCTGTTCCTGAAACAAGCAAAAGGATAAGTCTCTCTTAAAGCATTATATTAAAACGATAGGTAGGGGCAGCGGGAGAACTGAAGACCATGTGTAATGCCCCTTGGGTGGGTTGTTGGCAGAGGGGATTGAACCTGAGGCCTCTGGATCTTAAAGCATGAGCCTCTACTCCCTGAGCAAAAAATTCAATTCAGTTAGCCAAGGCTGTAGGCACCACCAGCAGGGGAAAGAGCACCACACAGAGTGGATGTGGGTTATACGTCCATCCTCTAACACAAGAGACAGTACCAATGGCTCTGCCATATTTGTCCTGAGTAGCGTGCACTGAGTGGGGTGCTTTTGTGGGAGACCCAGGGGTTGCATTCTAGGGTGCAATCCGGACCAGTGAGGGGTTCTGTCACAACTTGCCTTTCAACCGTGGGTGCCTCACAATGCTTTGCTGTTGTAGCTCCCAACTTGGGTCGCTCACAACCAGCCTACCAGCATGCAGGTCACACCGTGAGTGTCTGTATATAGCTACAGCCCTGGTCTAGCAACTCTGACCCCAACAGCCTGTCAGCAGCAACACCAGCCACGCTCTGGCTTCCAGCAGCCTTGGTTACTACCTGCAGGGTGATCCCAACACACGCCAGTCCTGAATTCTCCCAAAAGCGTGTGTTCTGCATTGGACAGGTCAGATATTATAGGTCTGTTGCCCCGGTACGGGGGCCAATATACAACAGATTGCTACTTTAATTGGCGTTACCCAACATTTCAGTTTAAACACAAACACTGAATTAGTTTGATTAAAGAATACAAAACGTTTATTTAATTCCTTGTACTCACTTAAAATCTCTCTTTTTGTAGTTAAAGTCAGAAATGGTTACAAGAGAAATAATGATAAAACACTTTCTAGTGCTAAAACTTAACACGCTAGATGTGGTTCAAGATAAAATCCTTACCACATGTTCCCAGTTGGGGCCAAGTAATCCACCAATAAGAATTCTGGATGCATGTATCCAGTCATCTGAACCATTAGAAGTGCAGCATGCAAATTAGCTGGAGAGCAACTGTGATGATTGGTTGAGTTTCAGCTGAGGTTACACTGGCCCCACTTAAAGGCCTGATCTACAAGTTAGGTCAACATAGCTACATCTGTCAGGGGTGTGAAAAATCCACTCCCCTGAGCGACATACCTATGCCAACCTAACCCGAGCACAGACCTAGCTGTGTCATTGACGTAGCTACTGCTGCTCAGAGAAGTGGTGTTCCTACACCCACAGGAAAACCCCTTCTCTCAGGGTAAAAGCAGTAGGCTACTGGTTATACCGGTATAGTCTCTGTAATGTAGACATCCCCTAAGAGTGGTCTGAGCTGTTGACACAGCCCTGTCTTACTCCATTAATTGAATAAAAATGTCATTTAAAAGGGATTAAGGTTGGTTAAATGCAACATTCCCCCACTACTGGACACCATCTCAAAAAGGTTATTGCTCAGTTAAGAGGGGGTTCAAAAAAGGGAAACAAGAACACGAAAAACTCTTCACTGGAGAGTTTGTCCATCTGTTTCAGAAGTAAAAGGATAAAGAGTTTAGCAACAGTCAAATATGCATTTCTGGTATCTTATGTCATAGCTCTGTTGTGAGACAGCTTTAATCTACTTTACAAAAGATGTACATTTTAAACCCCAGCACAACAAATACAATATCAACGTGTTATAATCCTTCCTACTGTTAAAAATAGATACAAATTAATTCAACATTATACTGAAAATACAGAACTGTGATGTTATGCATAAAAGCATTATACAAAGATATATAGGAAACACATGATGGTGTAGAAAGTTTTTATTTTTTAAGCATGAGGTTGGGATGGCTGGATACTCTAAGTGGTGAAGTGAGATCAGAGATCTCATATCCTCACTGCATGTACTAGCAAAAAGAAAAGGAGTACTTGTGGCACCTTAGAGACTAACCAATTTATTTGAGCATGAGCTTTCGTGAGCTACAGCTCACTTCATCAGATGTTTACCGTGGAAACTGCAGCAGACTTTATATACACACAGAGAATATGAAACAGTACCTCCTCCCACCCCACTGTCCTGCTGGTAATAGCTTATCTAAAGTGATCAACAGGTGGGCCATTTCCAGCACAAATCCAGGTTTTCTCACCCTCCACCCCCCACACAAATTCACTCTCCTGCTGGTGCTAGCCCATCCAAAGTGACAACTCTTTACATAATCAAGTAGGGCTATTTCCTGCATAGATCAAGGTTTTCTCACATCCCCCCCACCCCCATACACACACAAACTCACTCTCCTGCTGGTAATAGCTCATCTAAACTGACCACTCTCCAAGTTTAAATCCAAGTTAAACCAGAACATCTGGGGGGGGGGGAAAAAACAAGAAGAAACAGGCTACCTTGCATAATGACTTAGCCACTCCCAGTCTCTATTTAAGCCTAAATTAATAGTATCCAATTTGCAAATGAATTCCAATTCAGCAGTTTCTCGTGGAGTCTGGATTTGAAGTTTTTTTGTTTTAAGATAGCGACCTTCATGTCTGTGATTGCGTGACCAGAGAGATTGAAGTGTTCTCCGACTGGTTTATGAATGTTATAATTCTTGACATCTGATTTGTGTCCATTTATTCTTTTACGTAGAGACTGTCCAGTTTGACCAATGTACATGGCAGAGGGGCATTGCTGGCACATGATGGCATATATCACATTGGTGGATGTGCAGGTGAACGAGCCTCTGATAGCGTGGCTGATGTTATTAGGCCCTGTGATGGTGTCCCCTGAATAGATATGTGGGCACAATTGGCAACGGGCTTTGTTGCAAGGATAAGTTCCTGGGTTAGTGGTTCTGTTGTGTGGTATGTGGTTGTTGGTGAGTATTTGCTTCAGGTTGCGGGGCTGTCTGTAGGCAAGGACTGGCCTGTCTCCCAAGACTTGTGAGAGTGTTGGGTCATCCTTTAGGATAGGTTGTAGATCCTTAATAATGCGTTGGAGGGGTTTTAGTTGGGGACTGAAGGTGACCGCTAGTGGCGTTCTGTTATTTTCTTTGTTAGGCCTGTCCTGTAGTAGGTAACTTCTGGGAACTCTTCTGGCTCTATCAATCTGTTTCTTTACTTCTGCAGGTGGGTATTGTAGTTGTAAGAAAGCTTGACAGAGATCTTGTAGGTGTTTGTCTCTGTCTGAGGGGTTGGAGCAATGCGGTTGTATCGCAGAGCTTGGCTGTAGACGATGGATCGTGTGGTGTGGTCAGGGTGAAAGCTGGAGGCATGCAGGTAGGAATAGCGGTCAGTAGGTTTCCGGTATAGGGTGGTGTTTATGTGGCCATTGTTTATTAGCACTGTAGTGTCCAGGAAGTGGATCTTTGTGTGGACTGGACCAGGCTGAGGTTGGTGGTGGGATGGAAATTGTTGAAATCGTGGTGGAATTCCTCAAGGGCTTCTTTTCCATGGGTCCAGATGATGAAGATGTCATCAATATAGCGCAAGTAGAGTAGGGGCTTTAGGGGACGAGAGCTGAGGAAGCGTTGTTCTAAATCAGCCATAAAAATGTTGGCATACTGTGGGGCCATGCGGGTACCCATAGCAGTGCCGCTGATCTGAAGGTATACATTGTCCCCAAATGTGAAATAGTTATGGGTAAGGACAAAGTCACAAAGTTCAGCCACCAGGTTAGCCGTGACATTATCGGGGATAGTGTTCTTGACGGCTTGTAGTCCATCTTTGTGTGGAATGTTGGTGTAGAGGGCTTCTACATCCATAGTAGCCAGGATGGTGTTATCAGGAAGATCACCGATGGATTGAAGTTTCCTCAGGAAGTCAGTGGTGTCTCGAAGGTAGCTGGGAGTGCTGGTAGCGTAGGGCCTGAGGAGGGAGTCTACATAGCCAGACAATCCTGCTGTCAGGGTGCCAATGCCTGAGATGATGGGGCCCCAGGATTTCCAGGTTTATGGATCTTGGGTAGTAGATAGAATATCCCAGGTCGGGGTTCCAGGGTGTGTCTGTGCGGATTTGATCTTGTGCTTTTTCAGGAAGTTTCTTGAGCAAATGCTGTAGTTGCTTTTGGTAACTCTCAGTGGATCATAGGGTAATGGCTTGTAGAAACTGTGTTGGAGAGCTGCCGAGCGCCTCTTGTTCATATTCCGACCTATTCATGATGACAACAGCACCTCCTTTGTCAGCCTTTTTGATTATGATGTCAGAGTTGTTTCTGAGGCTGTGGATGGCATTGCGTTCCGCATGGTGAGGTTATGGGGCAGTGAGACAGCCCCCAACCTGAAGCAAATACTCACCAACAACCACATACCACACAACAGAACCACTAACCCAGGAACTTATCCTTGCAACAAAGCCCGTTGCCAATTGTGCCCACATATCTATTCAGGGGACACCATCACAGGGCCTAATAACATCAGCCACGCTATCAGAGGCTCGTTCACCTGCACATCCACCAATGTGATATATGCCATCATGTGCCAGCAATGCCCCTCTGCCATGTACATTGGTCAAACTGGACGTCTCTACGTAAAAGAATAAATGGACACAAATCAGATGTCAAGAATTATAACATTCATAAACCAGTCGGAGAACACTTCAATCTCTCTGGTCACGCAATCACAGACATGAAGGTCGCTATCTTAAAACAAAAACTTCAAATCCAGACTCCAGCGAGAAACTGCTGAATTGGAATTCATTTGCAAATTGGATACTATTAATTTAGGCTTAAATAGAGACTGGGAGTGGCAAGTCATTATGCAAGGTAGCCTGTTTCTTCTTGTTTTTCCTACCCCCCCCCAGAGTTCTGGTTTAACTTGGATTTAAACTTGGAGAGTGGTCAGTTTAGATGAGCTATTACCAGCAGGAGAGTGAGTTTGTGTGTGTATGGGGGTGGGGGGATGTGAGAAAACCTTGATCTATGCAGGAAATAGCCCGACTTGATTATGTAAAGAGTTGTCACTTTGGATGGGCTAGCACCAGCAGGAGAGTGAATTTGTGTGGGGGGTGGAGGG